CCAGCTGCTGCAGCTACTGCAGCTACTGCAGCTGCTGCAGCTGCTGCAGCTGCTGCAGCTGCTGCAGCTGCTGCAGCTACTGCAGCTACTGCAGCTGCTGCAGCTGCTGCAGCTGCTGCAGCTAGCGACGTAACTGTCCAGCAAGGCATTTGGTGCAGGTTGAGCGCCTAACAATGAATACAGCGACGCCACTCCAGCAAGCCGTGCTGCTGCTGCTGCACTGTGCTGCTGCTGCTGCACTGTGCTGCTGCTGCTGCACTGTGCTGCTGCTGCTACTGCTGCACTGTGCTACTGCTGCTACTGTCTTGCTGCTAATTCACTCACCTGCCGCTATTGGTGCTGCATGGCCTCTGCTGCTGCACCGTCCGGCTGCTGCTGCTGCTACTGTTGCTGTTGCTGCTGCTGCTGCCACTGTTGCTGTTGCTGCTGCTGCTGCCACTGTTGCTGTTGCTGCTGCTGCTTGTTCCTGTCTCATCGGCACCTAGTTTTTGCCTCGCCTGTTTGCACAGACTTATTTGCTGCCAAGCAGTTGCAGCAGCAGCTGCAGCAGCAGCTGCAGCAGCAGCTGCAGCAGCAGCTGCAGCAGCAGCACCAACCAACTAACCAAACAGAAGAGTAAATTATAAAAGCCGCCCTAAGAACGAAGGGAAGGGCCGCTGCAGCATACTCTCATGCTGCTGCAGCTGCACTGTGTGTGCTGCTGCTGCTGCTGCTGCTATGCAGCAGCAGCAGCATCTCTTCCTGAGGCCTACGCAGCTCTCTCGGCCTCCTGCTTTTCCATTAAGCTAACTACAAGGCTAATTGGCATTTCTGTATAGGGGCAGCAGCAGCAGCTGCTGCAGCTGCTGCAGCAGCTGCTGCAGCTGCTGCAGCAGCAGCTGCAGCTGCTGCAGCTGCAGTAGCCGCAGCACCACAGTTGCTGTTGCTGCATCAGCTGCGGGGGCTGCTGCTGCAGTTGCTCGCCCGGCCGCTGTAGCTGCTGCACCAACTGCTGCTGCTGCTGTACTTGTCATTGCTGCATTCACGATTGTTGTTGCTCTTTCTGCTGCTGCCGCGGCTGCTGCTGCTGCCGCTGCTGCTGTTACTGCCGCCGCCGCCGCTGCTGCTGCTGCTGCTGCCATTGCTGCCGCTGCTGCTGCCATTGCTGCCGCTGCTGCTGCTGTTGCTGCTGCTGCTCCTGGTTTGGGCCAGCGTGTGTGTGCGCTGCAGGCTACAGCATGCAGCAGCAGCTGCTGCAAGTCTACTCTATAGCAGCAAAAAATGCACGATTGCCGCAGCAGCAGCAGCAGCAGCAGCAGCAGCAGCACCTCAGTGCCTGCACATCGTGGGCGGAGGCAAAAAGTACAAACAGTTGCCAGCCAGAAAGTGTGCAGCAGCAGCTGCTGCTGCTGCTGATGCTGCTGCTGCAGCAAGGAAAGTGCAGCAAAGGCGCCTCAGCTGCTGGGCTGCATCATGGGGTTTGTTTGTTGAGGACAAATGGCAGCAAAGCGCTGCTGTCTTTGCTGCTGCTGCTGCTGTTGCTGCTGCTGCTGCTCCTCCTCCTCTTCTTCCTCCTGCTGCTGCTGCTCCTCTCCTTCCTCCTGCTGCTGCTGCTCCTCTCCTTCCTCCTGCTGCTGTTCTACCGCGATGGTGTGTCTCGCCTTCGGCACTGCTGGGAGAACTTTCTGCTGCTGCTGTTGCTCCTGCTGCTGCTCCTGCTGCTCCTGCTGCTGCATTCGCTGCTGCACCCTAATGGTGTTGGCCCTGACCTCTCTAAGAAGCTCTTCCAGGGCTGTAGATACCTCTCTGAATACTGTGCGGCCGACGCCAGAGCCCTGCTGCTGCTGCTGCTGCTGCTGCTGCTGCTGCTGCTGCTGCTTCGGTGGGTGTTGCAGCTGCGCTGCTAGCGGCGGCTGTGACTGCTGCCGTCCCGCTTGCTGCAGCAACTGCTGCTGACGGTGCTGCAGTGGCAGCTGCGGCAATCGCGGTGCTGCCTTTTTAAGGGGCGGGCTGATGGCTTTTGCAATCACTCCGCTGCTGCTGCTGCTGCTGCTGCTGCTGCTGCTGTGGCTGCAGCCTCTATATGCCTTGCTGCTGCAGTGGCCTGGCGTTTCCGTGCTTCGCTTCACTTCCACACCGTCTCTGCTGCCGAAATCTCCCTGCATGTCGCGAGAGGTGACCTTTCCGCTGCTGCTGCTGCTGCTGCTGTTCTTGCTGCTGCTGCTGCTGCTGCTGCTGCTGTACTTGCTGCTGGAGCAGGGCAGCGAGGCGCAGCACCGCGGGGCGTTTACTACCGCTCGCCGGGGCCTGCAAACCCCAGCACTCATGTCTTTGTCAAATGAGAAAGAATTTGAAAATTTCATTTGTTGTCTTTTTTCAATTTGCTGCTTCTGGGGAGGAGGCGAGACAGCCAGCAGCAGCGGGGAGGGGCCCTCCAAGCTGCTGCAGCGGGAAAGCCCGTTTGTGGCTCCTCCTCCAAAGTCCTCCTTCTCTTGCTGCTGCTGCTGCAGCTGCTGCTGCTGCTGCTGCTGCGGCGGGGCCTGGGACTGCAGCAGCTGCTGCAGCAAAAGGGAAGCCTCCCCGTGCTGCAGCTGCCACGCATGCACCGCCTCGCCCGACAGCAGCAAAGAGCAATTAAGCGAAAAAGAACTCCTCAGCAGCTCTCTGCCATCGACGACGGAGCCATCGCTAGCAGCATACACCACGCTGCTGCTGCTGCTGCTGCTGCTGCTGCTGCCGATGCGGCCGCTGCTGCTGCTTCTGATGCTGCTGCTGCGACTGATGCGACCGCTGCTGATGCCGCTGCTGCTGCTGCTGATGTTGCTGCTGCAGCTGATGCTGCTGCTGCTGCTGATGTTGCTGCTCACGGGCGAAGGAGCAGCAGCTGAGTGCTGCTGCTCCTCCCGGACGTTTCGCCACTTGGCAATTTTCTGGGGTGGCTGAAATCTGTGAAGGAAACAAATAAATAAATAAATAAATAAATAAATATAAATAAATAAATAAATAAAAAAATAAATAAATAGACGAAAATAGACAAATTAATGGAATATGAGACTGGCCTATCTCGTGGTCAGTTTGTTTTTCTTTAATTCCAAATAATCACATTGAACAAAAACAGGGAAGGCAGTAGTGCAGCAGTGGAAAAAGAGGACAAAGGAAAAAAGACAGCAGCAGCAGCAGCAGCAGCAGCGGCAGCAGCAGCAGCAGCAGCGGTGAAGGTCTCAGGCAACTCCAGACAAAAGGAGTAGCGGGAAGCAGCCTCTAGAAGCATGGAGTCGAAGAAGTCTATTTAAATTAATGAACCAAAATAAATCCATTTAATTAAATCCATTTAATTAATTCCATCTAATTAAATCAGTTTAATCCATCCACACAACTCTTAAGAGAAATGCATTTTAAATGGATCTAATTGATAGAACTAAACCAGCTGGATGGAAAGACTTCAGTTGTTTACAAAACAAATCCATTTAATAAAACCCATTTAAAAATACCAATTAAAGAAATGAAACAAAAGAACAATTAAATAAATGCATTTAGAAGAAAGATATGCATTTAAGGCCGGTGGAATAAATTCAGATTTGTTGAATTAAGGCAATTCGATGTGCAAACTCAATCTACGAATGCAATAATTCAAATTTCGCGTCAATTAATTATTTTATTTATTTTTAAAAGTGAAGTTGAAATTTAAAAAGGAAATAAACCGCTGAAATCCGCAAAGTTCAGAAAGTTCAAGAAAGGTTCTGCTGCACTGACTAGAAAAAGTTCAGATCTGGAAACTTCAACATTTGCTGCTTTCCGCCGCCACTTTTTGCTTCCAAATCACCCAATTGTTTTAATTTTAATTCAATTTATTGAATTAATTCAAATTTAATAAAAATAATTCAAAACATTCCGCAGAATTTCAGGAAAATATACTCCAGCGGCCCCGCCCTTGAAGGAATGCGTATGAGCAACTTTCCGAGTTTCGGGCGCCCAAGTCCAAAAGCACAGCCGAAATTGAATTAATTAACCAAACAACTAATTAATTAATTAATCAACTAATTAATAGTTGTAAATCCTTTTTAATTAAAAGGAGATTTTCAATAAATCCACTCCAATAAACCATTTGAATCGACCTGGCCAAACAAAGCAACAAAACAATCCAACAAATTGATTTATTTCAAACAAAAACAAAAAATAAAATAAAATAAAATAAAATAAATCCACTCACGGCTCCAGCTTGTCTTCGGGCACAGGCGGGCCCTCGTCAGCTAAGAAAGAAGAAACTTTGCAACGCAGTGTTGCAGAACCTGGAAGCAGACACACGCATGCATTCTGGCTAGCTAGCTAGCTAGCTAGCTAGCTAGGTAATTAGCTAGCTGGCCACCTAGCTGGTTAGCTAGCTAGCTGGACATCTGGCTGGCTAACTGGATAGCTAGCTAGCTACACAGCTCGCTAGCTAGCTAGCTAGCTGGCTAGCTCGCGGGTTAGGTGTCGGGCTGGCTAGCTGGCAGGCTGGCTGGCTGGATAGCTAGCTGGATGGCTAGCACGGTAGCTAGCTATCTGGCTGGCTGGTCGGGTGGCCAGCTAGCTGCCGCATCACTTAGGCAGATAGCTAGCTAGCTACGTAGGCGAACGGCTAGCCAGAGAGCTGCAGAACGAGCCAGTCAACAACCCAGTGCACTAGCTGAGTGGCTAGCTAGCTAGCTAGCTAGCTAGCCATCTGGCCAGCACACTAGCTAGCTAGCTGACTAGACAGACAGTCGACTTTTTGGCGCGTGTCGCCTGCGGAAGGGAAAAGCTAGAGAAGGTGTCTATACACTGCAAGCTGCAGCAGCAGCAGCAGCAGAAGTGGCAGCAGCAGCAGCAGCAGCGTTTCAGCTTACAGCTTCCAGAAAATGCTGCAGAGACGGAAAGAGGATAAGTGGCCCAGTCAAGGCTCTGCAGCAGAAGCAGCAAAATGAAAAAATACAGCAGCAGCAGATGAGGCGCCAGCCCAGTGCATGCGCCACTCTGCTGCAGCAGCAGAAGCTTTCGCTGCTGCGACAGCTGTAGCAGCAGCAGCAGGAGAGCTTGTGTGGATTGTGCTGCAGCAGCAGCAGCAGCAGCAGCAGCGGTGCTTCGGCTGTTTCTTCTGCAACAACAACCGGAGCACTTCGGGCCCGACCCTTAGCTGCTGCAGCCACTACTGCTGCAGCTGCCGCCACTGCTGCTGCATCTGCTGCTATTGCTGCTATTCCTGCTGCTGCTAATACTCCCGCTGCTGCTACAACTCCCGCTGCTGCTGCTACTCGCGCTGCTGCTGCAGCCCGTGCTGCCGCTGCTACTCCTATTGCTGCTACTCCCACTGCTGCTGCTCCTGCTGCGGCTACTCCAACTGTTGCTACTCCTGCTGCTGCAACTCCCGCTACCACTCCTGCTCGTGCTCCTGCTGCTGCTGCTGCTGCTACCCCTGCTGCTGCTGCTGCTGCTGCTGCTGCTGCTTACGTTGGGCTTCTTGAGGTTGGCTAGGGGAAAGACCACGCAGCCCAAGTCTTTGAGACGCCAAGTGCATTTCTTTCCTGCTGCTGTCTTCTCCTCCACTTCTTGGGTGAGCACCACTGTCAGCCGCAGCGCAGCAGCTTCTTGCTGCAGCGGCAGCACGAACTGCAGCAGCAGCAGCAGCAGCAGCAGCAGCAGCAGATTTGCACGGAAGGCGGGGGCGGCGAAACGCAGCAGCAAGCAGCAAGGAAACAAAAGTCCAAGACGCCTCTTCTGCACTTATTGCCCCGACTATTTATTTATTTATTTAATTTATTTATTTATTTATTTATTTATTTATTTATTTTATTTTATTTATTTATTTATTTATTTATTTATTTTTATTTAGACTTGCTGTGTAGGTCAAAGGCAAGTAAACGTCGTCGCGGTGGGGGCGATGCTCTGGGTTCAAAGACTCGGGGGGAGAGCGGTTGCGGGTGTGGTTTAGCAGCTGCAGCAGCAAACCCTAAACCCTAAACCCTAAACCCTAAACCCTAAACCCTAAACCCTAGGCCCTAAACCCTGGAGGCTTCGCGCTGTGGACACAGAGCCAGGCGCTGCGATCAAGAGCTGCTGCTGCAGGGCTTACAGCGTCGCATATAACTGCTGCGCCCGCTAAACCCTAAACCCTAAACCCTAAGCCCCAAACCCTAAACCCTAAACCCTAAACCCTAAACCCTAAACCCCAAAGCCTCACGTCAGAAAGGTTGTCATTGAGGTATCCGCAGAGCAAGAAAACCTGAGGCCTTTCTCCTTCTATTTTAAGTTTACCTCTGCAGCCACGCGCAGCCGCACACAACCCTAAACCCTAAACCCTAAACCCTAAACCCTAAACCCTAAACCCTAAACCCGTAAGCAGCGAGTAAACAGAGGTGAGCGGCGGTGGCTGCTGTGATGAAATGTAAGCCTCCTCTGTCTATGAGGTGGCTGCTGCTGCTGTTGGCGCAGCAGCAGCTGCAATAGCAGCAGCAGCAGCAGCAATGGTAGCAGCAAAAGCAGGAAAAGCAGCAGCAGCACCGGCGACAGCAAGGCCGGAAGGAGGCTCCAAAGTCCACTTGAGCAGCAGCAGCAGCAGCAGCAGCAGCAGCAGCAGCAGCAGCAGCAGAGTATGACTCACGTGAGTCCAATAACATCAACTTCAACTTTTCCCGCCACGGGCCCTTCTGTTTCTGCTGCTGCTGCTGCTGCTGCTGCTTTTTGCTGCTGAAGACTGAGTTTGGAGCGCAAGCGCTGCACCGACTGCTGCCGCTGCTGCTGCTGCAGCTGCTGCAGCTGCTCCTTTGACCCCTTCCTGCTCATGGGCTCAGCAGCATCTGCTGCTGCTTTGCTTCTGTGGCTGCTGCTGTCTCTCTTGAGCTCCCCCTTGCTGCTGCTGCTGCTGCTGCTGCTCTCTTTGCGAGAAGCTGAAGACTTCAGGCTTCTCGACTTCTGCCTGTGGGCTTCTTTGTCTTTCTTTGAAGGGGTTTTGGCTGGCTGCTGCTTTGCTGCTGCTGCTTCGGCAGGTGCTGCTGCTGCTGCTGCTGCTGGTGCTGCTGCTGCTGCTGCTGCAGTCACCCGCGGGGTCACTTCTGTGGGTGTCAGCGAAGGCGCTTCCTTGGGAGGCGTGGGGACTGCGGAGGCCAGCATGGTGCAGCTGCTGCTGTTGCTGCTGCTGCTGCTGTTGCTGCTGCTGCTGCTGCTGCTGCTCTGCGGCTCACACTCTGTGCTCTGCTGCTCCGGCTCAGCAAAAGACTCCGCAGCAGTCTCGCTGCCGTTTCTCCCGTCAGCCCAGCTAATGGACCTTTGATGCTGGTGCTGCTGCTGCTGCTGCTGCTGCTGCTGCTGCTGCTGCTGCTGCTCGGGTTTGCCCGCGTGTTTTTGAGGCGCTTTCGCGTGGCGCTGCTGTTTCTGCCTCGCAGGGCGCTTCTTGCTGCTGCTGCTCCTGCTGCGAGCAGCAGCAGCAGCAGCAGCAGCAGCAGCATGGGGACTGTCATAAACTATTTCATACTCCGGCGCAGGCTTGCAGCAGCTGCACAGCAGCAAGTCCAGCAGCGGCAGCTCATCTGCTGCTGCTAGCCGCCTGAAGTGTCCAGACCGCAGCCGGCGCATGCGGGGGGACTCTAGGCGGCGGCTCGCCATCGCCCCTTTGCTGCTGCTGCTGCTGCTGCTGCTGCTGCTGCTGCTGCTCGTGCTGCTGCTGCTGCTCGTGCTGCTGCTGCTGCTGCTGCTGCTGGGTTTTGCTGCTGCGCGACTTGAGAGCGACGGGCTACTCCAAGGCCCGGCCTGCCCAGACCAGACAGACACACGGGCAGCAGCTCATGGATAGGGGTTTAGGGTTTAGGGTTTAGGGTTTAGGGTTTAGGGTTTAGAGTTGCGGCTCGCTCGCGGAGGGACACGCAGCTGTTAAGGGCTGTTGGGGGCTGAAGCTTAGCTCGAGGGTTTAGGGTTTAGGGTTTAGGGTTTGAAACTAGGGATTGGGGCCGGGGGAAAGGGTTTAGAGGTCGGCAGTTAGGGTTAAGAAATTAGGCTTTTGAAGCGTGGGAAGCCCCAGCAGCAGCCCTGGGGGCCGAAGCTTGAGGGTTTAGGGTTTAGGGCTTGCGTCCGGGGTTTAGGAGCTAGGGTTTAGGGTTTAGGGTTTGGGGGAGGGAGTGTTACACTGAAAGGCTGAAGCACCCTGCCGGTCGAGTCCCCAGAAGGCCGTTGCTGCTGCTGCTGCGGCCGTTTCGCTGCATTTGTGAACCCGAAGCAAATTAAATGCAACCTAAATGCAATCTAAATGTCATTTTCCGCGAACTGAGCTGTCTGTACACCTGAAATAGTGCGGAAAACAAAGAAAAGTGGCGCAAGAACACAGAGCGAAGCCTGCGCAGGCGACCGCAGGCCGAGTCCGCCGCAGCTGACTGCAGCAACAGTCCGAAGAAGCACTTTTTTGCAAATTACACCTTAACCATTTCACTTTAAAAGGGAAATAAAAGACTTTTAAAGTCAAAATGAAGAAGAACTTCCCCGAGTCTGCTCCGGGCGGCGCTGCGGCGTCAGGTGTACGTACACCGCAGCGAGGCCCCACCGGTCGCAGCGAGCCCAGCACGCGGAGACCGTGCGATCGGTTGGCTTTTTTGTCAGTTTTTTGTTTTAAATTCACTTCTTTTCCAGGATAAAGAGGAATTAAACCAAAAGCGCGTCTCAGAAGGTCTTTTTTAGCCCTTCTGCAAGCCGAGCCGCGGCCTCGGGTGTCTCGACGCTGCAGCAACACCCGCTGCAGCTGTATGTACACCCCAGCTGCTGCTGCTGCTCTGGATAAGAAATTCAAAAGAGCCTCTTCAGGTGTACATACAGCTCCGAAGCTGCTCTTTAGCAGGCTGTCTGCACAGCCCGAAGGGCCTTTGCCCCTCCAGAAAAGAAAACTAAAATAACTCAAAAGATCTCATAAATTATCTGCTGCTGCTGCTGCTGCTCTGCATGCACTCTTCATTGTGCAGCAGCAGCAGAGAGCCACAAAACCAATTTTGAGGAAAACCCGCGTAAGGCTCTTTTGGCCTACCGGGTGTATGTACAGAGTTGTTAGACTTTGTTTGCATTTAAGTTCTATAAAACTACAAATAATTATATATTTGGAAATATATAAATATCTATATAAAAACATATCTATGTATATAAATAGTTATAGTATGCATATATATATATATATATATATATATATGTATATATATATATATATAATATTTAGTATATAATCAATTGTATGGATAAACATAGTGAAATATTTATAAATAGTTATTTATTTAAAAATAATTGAAGATTTATAATTAGTCAAATTTGCAAATAAAGAGCTTTACGGCCAAAGAGCTTAAGCCTGCAGCCAGGTGTACATACAGCACAGCCCACAATCTGAGAATTCTTTAAAGGCTTTTTCACCATTTGGGACTTTTGGATTTAAATAAATTTTTGCAAATTAAATGCATGCATGCATGCAAACAAATACATCATGCATGCATGCATGCATGATGTTCTTTGCATGCATGCATGCAAACAAATGCACTTTTCCGCATGCATGCATGCATTTAACTTGCCAAGATGTTCTTTGCATGCATGCATGCATGCAAAGAACATGCATGCAAGATGTTCTTTGCATGCATGCATGCATGCAAAGAACATCTTGGCAAGTTAAATGCATGCATGCAAACAAATGCACTTCTTTGCATGCATGCATGCAAAGGACAAAACCAATTGTGCAAATTCAAATAAATAGACAAGGCTGTAAATAAATAAGTAAATAAATAATAAATCAAATAAATAAACAACCAAAATGAATACTTAGAAAAAAATTGAGAAATGAATAAAGAATAAAAAAAATTAAATAGATATTTACCCAATTTAAACTATCTACTTATTGAAGACTATTTAATCAATCATGACTATTAAATCCAGTAAATGTGATAAAATTATCTAATATTTTAAATTTGATAAAATCGTTTAATTTTTTCAAATTATTTGATGAATTAAAACTATTAAATTCGCTCAATCTAGTAAAGGATTTATTATTTTAAAAGTAATAAACCATTTAGAAGTACTAAATTCAATTAATTTAATTAAAACATCTGATATTTTGAACTTATTTAATTTATTAAAATCCAGAATCCTTCAAATCTAATAAAAGTGTTTGATCTTTGAAAGATATTTAGTCCGTCAAGTGTATTGAAACTATTTAATAAATTAACTAGTTAATCATTTAAAACTATTTAATCGGTTAAATCTATTTAAGCTATTAAATCCGCTAATATAATAAAACTATTTAATATTTTGAAAGTAGTAATTCAACTAAAACTGTTAGACCAGTTAAATGCAATAAAAGTGTGTAATATTTGAGAATTATTTCATTTACTAAAAGTATTAACTCCATTAAATGTAATGAAACTACTCAATCTTGAAAAGCTATTATTCCCATTAAATCTAGCAAAAGTATTTAATCAATTAAGAGTACTGAATCTATTAAATATAACAAAACTATTTAATTAATTAAAACTATTAAATCTATTGAATGTAATGACACTCCTAAATGTATTAAGACGAACAAGTTTATTAAGAAAATTAAATATACAATGTCAAATAAAACAATGTAATCTATTAAGACAATTAAATATATTTAATCTAATAAAGCCATTATACATAATAAAAGTATTAATTCTGTTAAGCTATTAAGTTTACTAGATCTTTTTTATTAGATTTAATCAAGCTTTTAAATCTATTGGATTAATTAGATCTGTTTAATTTATTGCATCTAATAAAACTGTTACATCAGTTATATCTATTAAACACATTAAATTTAATACAACTATTAAATCCACTGGATTAATTAGATCTATTAAACTTCATAAAACTATTAGCTCTATTAGTTCTAAAAGGCATAATATATTTATTAAACTTAGTAGATCTAAAAGGGCTATTAAGTCTATTAAGAAGTTTGTTAAATCTATTAAAGCCAAAAGAGCCATTAAGCCTAATAGGCCTAATAGACTTAATAGATTTACTAAGTTTAATAAATTTGAAATATTTAATAGATTAATTATATTTAATAGGTTTAGTAGATGTTTTCAGTCTAACTGAGAAGTTAATTCTCCTAAGTCTATCAAATCTATTAAGTCTATTAAGTCTACTATATTTAATAGACTTAATAGATTTATTAAATTAATTAAATCTATAAAGTCTTTTAGGTCTATTAGGTCTAATAGACTTAATAGATTTAATAGATCTTTTAATAGATTTAATAGATCTTTTAAGTCCATTAAAGCTACTAAGCTTTTACATTTAATAGGTCTAATAGACTTAATAAATCTATTAGATCTTTTAAATCCAATAAAACTATTAACTCTAGTAGATCCAGTAAACTTAATAAGTCTATTAGATATAATAAGTTAAATAGATCTGTTAATTCTATCAAGTCTAAAAGACTTAATAAATCTATTGGATCTTTTAAATCTGTAGACTTATTAAGTCCACTAAGCATAATGGACTTAATAAATCTATTAAATCTTTCAAGTCTACTGAATCTATTAATTCTATTAAATCCATAAGATCTATTTTTAGGTCTAGACTTAATATATCTAATAAATTTAATAGATTTAATAGATTTAATACGTTTAATAGATTTAATAGACATTTTATATTAAATAGACTTAATATACTTTTCAGATTTGATAGATTTAATAGATTTAACAGACATCTTATATTAAATAAACTTAATATACTTCTTGGATTTGATAGATTCGATGGATTAAATAGATTTAATATTTAATAGATTTAATAGGTTAAACGGATTAAATATATTTAATAGATTTATTATATTAAATCTACTAAATAGATTTAATAGATTTAATAGATTTAACAGATTTAATAGATTAAATCTATTAAACAGATTTAATAGATATAATTGCTTTGATAGATTTAATAGATTTAATAGATTAATAGATTTAATAGATTTAATAGATTTAATAGATTTGTTAGATTAAATAGATTAAATAGATTAAATAGATTAAATAGATTAAATAGATTAAATTCGTTAAGTAAATCTATTAGATTTAATGTTCTAAACAAATATATTAAATCTGGTAGACAATGCCTGCATGCATGCGTCCAAAGTGCCCCACAAAATAAATAAATTTGAATTTTCATTTATATTTATTTATTTACATTTATTTGTTTACATTTATTTATTTACGTTTATTTATTTGCATTTATTTGTCTATTTATTTATTTACATTTATTTGTTTACATTTATTTATATTTATTTACTTACATTTATTTATTTACATTTGCTTGTTTATATTTATTTACATTTATTTATTTACATTTATTTGTTTGTATTTGTTTATTTATATTTGTTTATTTATATTTGTTTATTTATATTTATCTATTTATATTTATTTATGTCCAAAGAAAGCTGCATCATTGCCTTTTTAAAGGGTAATTTGGAGTGTACAGACACCTGGAGATCTAATTATGCATTCCAGACAAAAGCAGATAAAACAAAATAAAGAAAATTAAAGTTATTGCATTAATGGCATTATAAATATTGTTAAAATGCATGCAGCGCAAAGCCCAGAAGCAAACAGCACTGCTGCTGCTTCAGCTGCTGCTGCTGCAGCATCAGCTGCTGCTGCTGCTGCTTCAGCTGCGGTTGCTGCTGCTTCAGCTGCGGCTGCTGCTGCTTCAGCTGCGGCTGCTGCTGCTTTAGCTGCTGCTGCTGCTGCTTTAGCTGCTGCTGCAGCTTCAGCTGCTTCCAGCCCTATTTTTTTGAAGTATCTCTTTTGTTTGTTTTTGATTATTTTTAAACAAACAAAAAAGTAATAAGCAAACAAATAGCTGTCTTTACACCTCAGAACAAAACAAACTGCCTTCAAACACGGCTGCTGCTCTGCTGCTGCTGCTGCTGCCGCACCTGCTGCTGTTGCTGCCGCACCTGCAGCTTTTGCTGCTGCAGCCGCTGCTGCTAAAATTGCTTCAGAAGCAAAGGCAAAAAGCAGCAAGGCACAAAATAAGCCATGCTACAGCAGCAGCAGCAGCAGACGCACCAGCAGGTGTAGCAGCAGCACGAGAAGCAGATGCAGCGGCTGTGGCAGCAGCAGCAGCAGCAAATGCCACCAGCAGCCAGCCACACAGAGGAAAAATCAAGTGTACCGTCGGTGCAGCAGCAGCAGCAGCAGCAGCAGCAGCAGATACGTTGCTGCTGCCGGCCTCCGCTGTTCTTAAAACAACTCAAAGGAAGCAAAGGCAAATACTGCCAAGTATTCTTTCAAACGAACTGCCCCGGCTGCTGCGGCCCTTCTATTGTTATTGCTGCTGCTGCTGCTGCTGCTGCTGCTGCTGCCTTTGCTGCTGCTGCTGAGGCAAAAAAGCCAATTAACTGTACACCACTTTAAAGATCGGAAGGATGCGCTCCGTCCTGCATGCAGCAGAAGGGAATGCACAGCAGCAGGTTTAGCAGCTAGCTGCAGACACACAGCTGCACAGCAGCAGCAGCAGCAAGAGCAGCAGCAGCAGCAGCAAGAGCAGCAGCAGCAGAATAGACGCTGAAGAGCTCACGCAGCAACGGCTAAGAGGCCCTGGCGTTGCAGCAGCACAGAGTCGCAGCCAGAAAAGAATGATGCCGGCAGCAGCATCAAAGGGGACACTAGCTTGGGGGGTTCCGCTGCTGCTGCTGCTGGTGCTGCTGCTGCTGCAGCAGCAGCAGCTGCTGTTGTGCTGCCTTCATTTACAGTGGGCCTCCCGCAAACCAGCATGCGCGGCTGCACTTCCTGCAGCAAACGCTTGCAGCAGCAGCAGCAGCAGCTCTCAGCAACACTGGAACACGCCGAAACTGGACAGAGCAGCAGCAGCAGCAACAACTGCAGCAGCAGCAGCAGCACCAATAGAAGCAGCAAACGCACCTGCAGCAGCAACTTCGTCTCCACGCGGCATACGCCCAGAGAAACTGCACAGAGCAGGGCAGTTGACAGTTGCTGCTGCTGCTGCTGCTGCTGCTGCTGTTGCTGCTGCTGGTACCCAGCAGACAAAGGGCAGCTGAGCAGGTCACGGCGAAAGGAGTGCCCGTCTGCTGCTGCTGCTGCTGCTGCTGCTGCGCCTGCGTCTGGCCCCATAACTGCCTCCGCCTGCAACAGATTGGCGACACAGCAGCAGCAGCAGCAGCAGCAACTTGGCCCTTTGGCCCCCCTTAGGCCTAGTGTCTCCATTTGCTGTTTAAATTGACCAGCAGCAGCAGCAGCAGCAGCAGGAGAATCAGAAGCAGCAGCAGGCTAAGCAGCAACAGGAACTGGGGATGCAGCAGCATCCACACAGGCAGCTGTGCCAGCAGCAAGAATAGAAGCAGGAGCAGCAGCAAGAATAGCAGCAACGGAGCAGCAGCAGCAGAAGAAATAGAATCCCCGGCAGCAGCAGGAAAGACAGCAGCAGCAAAAGGGCCATCAGCGGCAAAAGAAGACACAGAAGCAACTGAAGCAACAGCAACAGCAACATGAGCAGCAATAAAAGCAGCAGCAGCAGCAGCAGCAGCAAAGGGGCAGCAGCAGCCACTTGAGAAAAGAGGCAGGCCGCCAAAGTGGCTCACAGCAGAGACAGAAACACCCAGGATGATGGCTGCCACCAGCTGCGGCTGTTGCTGCTGCTGCTGCTGCTGCTGCTGCAGTGGTGCTGCTAAGGCTGCTGCCTGTGCTGCCGCCTGCTGCAGCCCTCCTGCTGCAGACGCAGCTCGCAGCAGCTGCGGGTCGGCGCATCCGAAGAAAAAAAGAGCAGCAGACGGGATGTTCCCGCTGCTGCTGCTGCTGCTGCTGCTGCTGCTGCTGCTGCTGCTGCAGCTGGAGAGGAACTGACTGCAAAAGCTGTCAGCCGCATCCCCAGCAGCAAGAGGTTCCATGGTGTGCAGCACCCGCCCCGGCATTGTTGCTGCTGCTGCTGCTAATGCTGCTGCAGCGGGAAGGATCGATGATTCTGGAGCAGCAGCAGCAGCAGCAGCAGCAGCAGCAGGCGCTGCTGCTCCTGTTGCACAACCAACAGGAACCAAAGGCTTCTCAACAGATAGCACGGAGGGCATAATTGCGCGCTGATGTTGCAGCAGCACCTGCTGCTGCGACTGTTGCAGCTGTTGCTGCTGTTGCTGCTGCTGCAGCTGCTGCTGCTGCAACACACTTCCAAAGCAGCTGCAGCCAACACCGCGCTGCAGCAGCACAGCTCGCTGTTCAGCCCCAGATGACACGCAGTGCTGCGTTGCTGCTGCAGCGCCTATCGGAGATATATTTGCTGGTGGCGACGCAATCTGCTGCTGCTGCTGCATCGCCTGCTGCTGCCGCTGCAGCGGCTGCAGCTGCTGTTGCAGCTGCTGCAGCAGCTGCAGCTGTTGTTGCAGCTGCTGCTGCTGCTCCAAAAGCTGCTGTTGCTGCTTTTGATGAATGGGCATCTGTTGCTGCTGCAGCAGTTGTTGCTGCTGTTGCTGTAGAAGCGGCTCTAGCTGCTGATGCTGTTGCTGCGGCTGCTGCAGCGGCGGCTCTCGCTGCTGCTGCTGTTGCAAGAAGTGCTGCTGCTGCGGATAAGAAGGCGCAGCATCCCGTTGCTGCACAGGAGGGTCTAGTGGATTTGGCCGCGGCTGCTGCAGCAGCAGCTGTTGCGGCTGCTGCAGCTGTTGCAGGCGAAGAAGGGGCTGCAGCTGGTGCTGTTGCTGCTGCTGAGGCTGCTGCTGCAGCAGCAGCTCCTGCTGCGACACACAGCCAGGTGCTTTTGTGCCGAGCTCGCTGTGCGCGTGGTCGACAACAAAAGCAGCAGCAGCAGCAGCAGCAGCAGCAGCAGCAGCAGCAGCATCGTGTCCGGCTCCAGGCGCTGCCGCTGCTGCTGCCCTCGGTTTGCTGCCCACAGTGCAGTGCAGTGTATCTGCATTACGTCGCTGCTGGCAGCAGCAAAGACGCGCGCTGCTGCTGCTGCTGCTGCTGCTGCTGCCGCAGCCGGGCGTCTGCCGCAAGCAGCAGCTTTGGCGTGGCGGGAGTTTCCGTTCCAGTGCTGTTGTTGCTGCTGCTGCTGGCGTTGCTGCTGCTGCTGCTGCTGGAGTTTGTCTTCCGGCAGCACAGCTGCGCTGCCGGATATGGGCAAAGGCCTGCTGCTGCTGCTGCTGCTGTTTCTCTGCAGTGGCTGATGCAGACGAAGGTGCTGCTGCTGTAGCTGCTGCTGCTGCTGCAGCTGCTGCTGGTGTCCGCTCGTGCAGCAGCACGATGTGGGAAGGCGCAGCAGCAGCAGCGACGCCCGACGGCTTGTGCTGCGCAGCACAGCCTGCTATAGCAGCAGCAGCTGCTGCTGCTGCATAGCCACTGCTGCAGCTGCTGCTGCTGCTGTGGGATGCGCACCTCGGCGAGCCGTCTCTATGCAGCTGCTGCTGCCGCTTCTGCCTCAAAGACTGCTGCTGCTGCCACTGCTGCTGCTGCTGCAGCGAAAGCCTGCCTCCTGACGCGGCCCATGGCTCCGAAGACTTATTCCTTGCTGCTGTTGCTGCTGCTGCTGCTCCTGCTGCTGCGGGCAGCCGCGGTGTTGGCAGCGCGAGGCCGTGGCACTGCAGCCTAGGGGTTGCTGCTGCTGAGCTGCTGCAGCCGTCCTCGTCTTCGGCAGCAGCAGCAGCAGCAGCAGCAAACGCCTTTAGCGCTGCTGCTCTACGGCTGCTGCTGATAGAAACAGCAGAAAGAGGAGACAAAGAGCTGTCGGGGCTGAGAGTGAGGGAAGAAGAAGAAGCAAGAGCAGCACGAAGCGACGAGTAAGCTGTTGCTTCCCCTGCTGCTGCTGCTGCTGCTGCTGCTGCTGTTGCTGCTGCTTCTGCCTCGGCGGCGGCCTTCTCAGCCTCGGCAGCCGCTGCTGCTTCTTCTGCTGCAGCTGTTGCTGCTGCGAAGTCCGCAGCAACAGCTGCTGCTGCTGTTGCTGCTGCCACTAGGGAAGACCGACGGCGGCCGCTAATTCCCGCTGATAGGGGCCGTGCTGCTGCAGCAGGTCTGTGGCGGCCAGAAGCAGCAGCTGCAGCAGCTGCAGCAGCAGCAGCAGCATGCTGCCCCGCTGAAGTTGGCCGCAGCGGGCGCAGCAAAGGCAGCTGCGGGCGAGAGAACCTCGGCAGCAGGCGGCCCTTTGTAAATGTGCTGCTGCTGCTGCTGCTGCTGCTGCTGCTGCTAGTGAAACGCAGACTTCGCGATTCCGGCTGCTGCTGCTGTTGCTGCTGCTGCTTATGTTGCTTCTGCTGCATCCTGCCCGATCTTGCGCAGTAGGCCAGCCAGCACTGCTGCAGCGTCGGCAGCTCCTCCGCTTCTCCTTTACACTGCTGCTGCTGCTGTTGCTGCTGCTGCTGCTGCTGCTGCTGCTGAGGGGTCCGAAGCGGCTTGAATGTCACCGCATCAAAAAGCATGGCTGGGTATGGTGGTGCTGCAGCACTTCGATTACGGCGTCCCTTAACTTGCTGCTGCAGTTGTTGCTGCTGCTGCTGTTGTTGCTGCTGCTGCAGTTGCTGCTGCTGCAGTTGCAACCGCTGCTGCAGTTGCAACCGCTGCTGCACCTGTGGCTGCAGTTGCAGTTGCTGCCGCTGCTGCAGTTGTGGCTGCTGCTGCAATTGAGACCGCTGCTGCAGTTCTGGCTGCTGCTGCAGTTGCGGCCGCTGCAGCATTTGTGGCTGCTGCTGCTGCTGCACCACTTCCGCATTCTGCTTTCGTTGATGCTGCTGCTGCTCTTCGTGTTGCGCCGCCACACATTTCGCTGGAGCAGCAGCAGCTGCTTCAGCTTCGATGGCAGCCGCAGCAAGCAACTGGCTTGGCTGCTGCTCTTGCCGTCGCTGCTGCTGCTGTTCCGGCTGCTGCTGCTGCTGCTGCTGCGGCGGCTGCTGCTGTTGCTGCGGGTGCTGCTGCTTAAGCGGTGGCTGTGGCAGTGGCTGCAGTTTCTGCTGCGTGCGCACAGGTCGCCTCTGCTGCTGTAGTCGCTGCTGTTGTAGCTGCTGCTGCTGCAGCTGCTGCTGCTGCTGCTGCAGGTGCTGCTGCTGCAGCGCCGACATCTGCACGGCGTTGCTCAGGGCCCCCCAAAAGGCAGCAGCAATTTGGAGGGCAACAGCAAATGGCAGCAGCGCTTCAGCTGTACGTACACCGCAACGCAGACAGAAGCAAAGTCCTGTACACAAGAGCTGCGAGCTGCTGCTGCCCGTGCTGCAGCTGTTGCTGCAGCAGCCGCTGCTGCTGTAGCTGCTGCAGCTGCTGCAGCTGCAGATGTACTGCGGAGGGCTGTGGGGCTCACCTGCTGCTGGGGCTTCCTTTGAAAAAGCTGCAGCTGCTGCTGTTGCTGCTGCTGCATATGTTTTGTGTACGCGAGCAACTGCAGTTGAGAGAGAGGCAAGCTGCAGCTGCTGCAGCTGCTGCAGCTGCTGCAGTGGCTGGAGCTGCTGCTTTGGCTGCTGCTGCTCCAGCTGCTGCTTCTGCATGCGCACAATGGATTCAGCTGCCTTCGAAAAGGCCTGCAGCAAAATGCGCAGCGGCAAAGGCCCTTCAAGCTGCTCCTGCTGCAGCGCCTGTGCATCCTGCTGCTGCTGCTGCTGCTGCTGCTGCAAATCATGTGCAGCAAGCTGCAGCAGCAACAAACGTATGCGGGGCAGCATGCCGTTTGCGAGGCGGCTCGCAGCAGCAAAAGGGTCCTCAAGATCTTGCTGCAGATTCGTCGGTTTCTCCTGCTGCAGTTGCTGCTCCAGGCTCCGCTGCTGCTGCTGCTGCTGCTGCTGCTGCGGCTGCTCTTTCTGTGGTAGCTGCTGCTGCTGCTGCTGCTGTTGTACTGAGCAGCCATCCATAGCAGCAGCAGCAGCAGCAGCAGCAGCAGCAGATGCCTCCTCGAAAGCTGGAAATGCTTCGCCCCCGTCCCCGCCGCTGCACGAAGTCGTCGTGCAGCGCGTTGTCAGTGCCTCAGCAAATAGCTTGCTGCTGCTGCTGCTGCTGCTGCTTGTGCTGCTGCTGCTGCTGCTGCTCCTTTTGCCGCTGCTGCTGCTCGTGCTGCTGCTCGTTTTATGGCGTGAGCTTGAAGGCGAAACCTGCGCCGCTATTTGCTGCGCATTCTGCAGAACTGAAGTTTGCGGCTGCAGGTGCCTTTGCTGCTGCTGCTGCTTCCACTCTTGCTCCAGCAGCTGCCCTTGCTGCTGCTGCTGCTGCTGCTGCTGCTGCTGCTGCTCTTGCTCCTGCCTCTCGCTCGTCCTTGACGCTCCGCAGATGGGGGATGGCAACACAGCGCTTTCGTTTGCCTCTGCTGCTGCTGCTGCTGCTGCTGCTGCTGCTGTTGCTGCTGTTGCTGCTTCTGGCTCTGCTTCTGCCCTCTGCGCTGCTGCTAGATCCGAGTCCGAGGCCGGTTCTGCCTGCTCTGCTGTTCCTTCTGCTGCTGCTGCTTCTGCTGCAGCAGCAGCAGACGCTGCTGTTGCTGCTGCTGGCAGCTCATTGAGCCGAAAGCCGTCGCAGGCCGCGTCTGTCAGCCACTCCATTGCTGCTGCGTCTGCTTCTGCTGCTGCTCTTGCTGCTGCAGCCTCTGCTGCTGCCTCAGCAGCAGCAACTGCCTCCTCTGCCGCAGCTGCGAGACCTTCAGCCCCATCATCCAGTGCTGCAGCAGCAGCAGCGGCTGCTGCTGCTGCTCCTGCGTCTGCTGTCACCGTCCTGTTCGCAGAAGCTTCCACTGCAGCATCCATTTCTCTCCACTCCTGTTTCTCTGCTGCTGCTGCTGCTGCTGCTGCTGCTGCTGCTGCTGCTGCTGGCTTTTGCTCCGTACTAGATGTGCTTCCAGTGGGAGAGCTCTCTGCTGTTGCTTCTTCAGCCTCAGCTCCTGCTGCTGCAGCTGCTGGGCCAGCAAAACTACCCTCCGCTGCTGCTGCACTTGCTACGCTTTCTGCTGCTGCTGCTGCTGCTGCTGCATCGGCGATGTTTCCAGACGTTGCTGCCGTAGCCATTTCCTTCGACGTCGTTGCTGCGCCAGCATTCTCCGTAGCAGCAGCAGCAGCAGCAGCAGCAGCAGCGTCATGTGCTGCGGCAGATTCATTTCCTGCTGCTGCGATTGCTGGCAAAGCTGCTGCTGCACCAGCCGCACTTGCTTCTGCTGCAACTGCTCGGGGCTTCCCAACCGTATTTCCTGCTGCTGCTGTTGCTGCGGTTGCTGCTGCTGCTTCGGCTCCCGCTGCACTACTTGGAGCTGCAGCGTCTGCCGGCTCCGCTGGTCCTGCTGCTGGCGGTGCTGCTGCTGCTGCGGCTGCTGCTGCAGCATCTGGAGCAAAGGCCCTCCGTGCCTCGGCAGGCGGCGCTGCTGCTGCTGCTGCACCAGCAGCAGCAGTTCCTGCTGCTGCAGGTATTGCTGCGGCTGCAATAGTTGAGGAAGCCGGCAGAGCAGCTCCTGCAGCTGCTGCCGCTGCTGCTGCAGCTGCCGCTGCTTCAGCAGCATCGGCCGCTGCTGCAGCTTCAGCCTCTGCTGCAGCAGCTTCTGCAGCTGCGACTCCCACTGCATTCCCTCCAGCACTCTTTGATGCTGCTGCTGCTGTTGCTGCTGCTTCTGCTGCCGCCGCCTCTGCTGCTGCAGCTTTCGCTCTTGCGACTTCTGCTGCTGCAGCAGCTGCTGCTGCCGCTTCCTCTGCGGCTGCATCTGCCTTCGCCGCTTCTGCTGCTGCGGAGTCTGATGCTGCCGCTTCTGCTGCTGCTGCTTTTGCCGCTGCCTCCTGTGTTGCTGCTGCTTTTGTTGCTGCTGCTTCTGCTGCCGCAGCCTCTGCTGCTGCAGCCTCGGCTGCAGTAGCTTCTGCTTTTGCAGCTTCTGCTGCTGCAGCTATTGCTGCTGAAAGCTCCCCTGCTGCTGAGAGCTCGGCTGCTGCAGCATCCGCTTTGGCGGCTTCCGCTGCTGCAGCTCTTGCTGCAGCTTCTGCTGCTGCAGCTTGTGCCGCTGACGCTTCTGCTGCTGCAACCTCTGCTGCTGCAGCTTGCGCTGCCGCAGCTTCTACTGCTGCAGCCTCCGCTGCCGCAGCCTCCTCTGCTGCAGCTTCTGCTGCTGCAGCTTCTGCTGCTGCGGCTTCTGCTGCTGCCGCTTTTGCTGCTGCAGCCTCTTCTGCTGCGGCTTCTGCCGCTGCGGCTTCTGCTGCCGCGGCTTCTGCTGCTGCTGCTTCTGCTGCTGCGGCTTCTGCTGCTGCAGCTTCAGACGCTGCAGCTTCTGCTGCTGCGGCTTCTGCTGCTGCGGTTTCTGCTGCCGCGGTTTCTGCTGCTGCGGCTTCTGCTGCTGCAGTTTGTGCTGCTGCGGCTTCTGCTGCTGCGGCTTCAGATGCTGTAGCTTTTGCTTCTGCTGCTGCTGCTTCAGCTTCTGCATCAGCTGCTGCACGTTCAGCAGCAGCTTGTCGATTCTTTGCAACGGCTGCCCGGTTCCTTGCTGCTGCGGCAGAGCGTTCTGCTGCCTCTGCTTCCTTCTGTGCTGCAGCAGCAGCGCTGCACGCGTAAGCTTCTGCAGCAGCTGCTTCCTTTGCTGTTATCGCAGCAGCAGCAGCAGCAGCTTCTGTCTCGATGAGCAGTTCGCTCGCCGCTGCTGCTGCCTCCTTCGCTGCTGTTGCCGTGGCATCGGCCTCAGCAGCAGCAGCTGCTGCTTGGGCAGACCGCGCAGCAGCAGCAGCAGCAGCGTGCAGTGCTGCTTGGCGGCCTGCAGCAGCAGCAGCAGCAGCAGCTCCCGCTATGGTCGTTGCATGCGTTCGCTGCGCCCTCACGCCCTTCGCACGCATAGACTCTTGTCTTGCTGCAGCAGCAGCTTCCTCTGCAGCAGCAGCAGCAGCAGCGGCTGCTGCTGCAACGCCTTCAGCCTCGCGTGCTGTTCTCTCTGCAGCAGCTGCCACGGCCTCTGCTGCTTCAGCAGCCTTTGCTGCAGCGTCTGCTTCTGTTGCTGCTGCAACTGCCTCCCACTCTGCTGCTCTCGAAGCATCTGCTAACGTGCTGCTGCTGCTGCTGCTGCTGCTGCTGCTGCCCTTTCCTTCGGCCGTGTCTGCACCATCTTCGAAATGCGGCAAGGCTATACAAAGGGAGTCACCTGCTGCTGCTGCTGCTGCTGCTGCTGCTGCTGCTGGACGCTCATCGAAGCACATTGTTGCTGGGATTTTCGCCTCTGAAGCAGCAAGTGCAGCAGGAGCAGCAGCAGTTGCTGCTGCTTCGATTGCTGCAGCAGGGAGAACATCTTTGGCGCCTGCTGCCTTCTGTGCAGAGCCAGACAGCAGCAGATGCGCCACCCCATCCCCAGCAGCAGCAGCAGCAGCAGCAGCAGCAGGGGAAGGAGTTGCAGGAGCCGTTGAGGTGTCTGTTGGCTTTTCAAATACTTCACCTACATCGACCTCTCCTGCTGCTGTTGCTGCTGCTGCATTTGCTGCGCCATACGTGCAGCTGTCTGGTAGTAAAAACTCATCTGGTGCAGCAGCAGCCACAGCACCTGCTGCTTCTGCTGCTGCCGTCGCTGCTCCCTGAATGGCTGCAGCAGAAGCAGCAGCAGCAGCAGCAGCACCTGCAGCAACAT